TTAACAATTCATTTTATATTTCGAATTATAAAAAAAAAATCACAAATAAATATAAGAACTCCTCAACAACCAAAACAAGTCCACAAAAGCAGAAAAAACACAATAAAATCTCACCACGATGATTATAAAGATATTTTCAAATAGATTATTTGTGGGCAACAAAAGCGGACTAAAAAAAAAAAGAAAAGAAACTAAACTCCAAAGTAATAGTATAATCTGAAAAACCGACCTACTTTAAACTCGACCATTAATGGAGCTGCGAGTAACCTAACGCATGCCTTCTCCTTTCTCAATCTCAGCCACCTAAATAACACTATTGAAAAGTTATATTATTATGGAAGCTTTTGCATCAACATAATTCACAGTTAGCCAAAAACAAACCAAAACCCAAATTTTAAAATACATGATAAGGAATCCAACCTTCCACCTGGGCCTTATCACATTTACCCTTTTATGAAGGATCACACTCACTATTTCATTGAGTACTTTTTAAATTTGTTTTTATTATCCTAAGTAAAGTTCCTAACCTATTGGAAATCCATGTTATTACTAATATTTTTGGATTCAAGTACAACGTTTCACCTAATTTAGTCCACTGTAGTATTTTCTATTGGGAGGGCTGCAAAAACTATTCATTAGTGATTAGTTGTTAAGAGGTATGTGTTTTCTTCCAAATGGGCTTTTTTTTAAAAAAAAAATTGTAAAAGCTATTTAGCTAAGTTTTTTGTGTTCACAATTGAAGATAACATTGAAATAATATTTAGCCATTGAAAAATGACAATGATCAAATTATAGAACAAATATTTTATAATTATTTCTTCTTTATTCGAAGGTTCAATGGATCGAAATAATACTGCAGACTACTCAACAGAAGGTAACTCTTTCCTTAACTTGTCTAATTGATAAAAAAATTTATGTTGTACCATCATGAGAAAAGACAAGGAGAGAGTTCTAAAGCAACTTCATTTAAAATATACTTATTTAGAACATGATTTCCCAAAGGTACAGTCTCAACAAAATTAGTTATTTAGAGAGCATTTGGTTAAGCTGATTCATACCAACAATTATGTCGGTAAAAATTTTAATCAACAGTTGATAGCTGATAGAAGTATCTCCGTATATATTTATATGATATTTGAACTCTATTAACCATACAAAAATATTTTTTACTAATAAAATTATAATTTTCAAATTAATATTTTTTATCATTAATTTTATTATAGTAATTTAAAAATAACAAGTATTTTTTTAATTAAATATTATACTACAAAATTCAATTAATATTTTTTTATTTATATAACACATTAAGATAAAAAAAACAATATATTTAGCTTAAAATTTGAAAATATACTCTATTTACCATTATATATAAAAAACAAGTATATATTTAATTGTCATTTTATATTTTAATAACAACATATGGCGACCACTCAAGGCAATACTCACAAAATTTTACTAAACACTAACATTCATCAATTAATTGCTATCAGCCACAAGCTACTCACTATTAACAACTGCTATAAGCTAGTTTAAACAGCTAACCTAAATGATATCAATCAATATAAAAGTTGACCTCATAAGAATACGAGGGACTTCAAATTTTGATTTTTAGTATTGTTAGATATGAATTTTTTTATTGGATTGTAATTATTGATAAATGAAACAAATAGTTAGTAGATTGTTTGGATGAAAGTTATTTGATAAGTTTGGAGAGTAAAATAATGTAGAAAGGGGTTGTTTAGTCGCTGGGGAAGAGAGTTTGAGAGAGAGTACGGGTTTTTGAAGGTTAATTGAGGGATTGAAAACCCGTCTAAACACCCCAAGTATTTAACACTCTGAATTGAGGTGTAAGTGTGGTTAAAAAATTTAATTTTCAAAATTAAAAAATTTAATTTTCAAAATTATCCACAATTATATTTATAAATCTTCTATGACAATGGTATTTTCGTAATATTTATATTTAACATTACATTTCTCTGCCATCAAACAAAAAAAGAACAATATTATTAAACTTTCATTTATCATATCTTCCCCACAAACTCATATTTGACACTTTTTTCAAAATATCTACGGTAAATGTAAATATACATTTCTAACCTTAAGTCTAAGCCCACATTTATCACTCTATATATAATATAATCAAAGACACCAAAATGTGTGATGGGAACATAATGTTGCCTTATATAATCACCTTTCAATTCTGATATGAATATGCACTATTCATGTGTACCAAACATACATTCCATTTTCACATATTTGTCTTTTCCCAAAACAATTATCAACTACCAGGAAAATTGGGTATGTGCATCAAAAATTACTCCTTCGAATAAGCACTAAAAATCACTCTTTTAGTGATTTGGGATTTATTTATTTTATTAATACTTCCCCTGTCTCAAAATATTATGTATTTTAAGAAGTAATAAATAATATTTTTTCAATATTACTTTTGTTTATATTAAATATAATAAATACTTTCACAAGTAACTATTGGTTCAAATTATAAAAGATAATTTGATCATATTATTTATGTTTTTATTAATATATTTTAGAAGAATTAATTATTTTCTTTGATTTTTAATTTTTATATAAAAATCTTAAAGAATTTATATTTTGTAACACGGACCGAAATACTATCTTTGCAAGTACAAGGGCGGTTGGTAACCTAAATGCCACTGCCTAATATTTATACCTTCTGTCAACTACTTGGAAGAATCTGGTAAAGCAGAAGGCCACATATAATTAATATGATAAATAAATGAGAAAAACTTATAATGATTGTTTTCTGTTTCCAAAGAATCTGACTGCTTATTAATTCAGTTAGAGGTATTATTATTACTCGATTTGTCTCATTACAAGTGTCTTTCAAAATTATTATACAAGAATATAAAAAAAAAAAAAAATCATTCAAATAAAAAAAAAAAAAAAATCATTCAAGCATTTTCTAGTTTTTGGCTAAAAAAATAGTTGTAGTTAATTAAATTATCATCTTAATTTACCACGTAAGTTTCACTAAAAAAAAAAAAAAAAATCATTCAACATTTCTAGTTTTGGCTAAAAATAGTTGTAGTTAATTAAATTATCATCTTATTACCACGTAAGTTTCACTAATACTTTTCGCACTTGAGAAAATAATTTATTCTAAAATACTTGTTACATTTATAGTTTCAAGGAATAATAAATATTTTTTCTATATTTATCCTTTGTATATACCAATAATTATTATTTCAATTTAACATTTTTCTTAAAAAATTAACATTAAATTAAGGATAATATAGTCAATTTACTCAATAATTTATTATAACTTAGACAAATTTATTAATTTTTTTTAAGAGACGTGAAATTGCAAACGTGACAAATATTATAGATTCGAGGTAGTAGTTCTCTAAATAATTAATTCTTAGCTAGTAGGAATATTGAAAAATAATAGTCTCTTAAAACTGTTTGTTTTAAAATTTTTTAAATGTCATTTTAAAATTCAAGAAAGAGTTTATTACATTTTTATTATTTTTATTTTTATTTATTTAATCCCTTTATAATTTTCTTTTGATATACTCTCTCTAGCTCAAAATATAAGTTGCGTAAGGTTTTTACACAAAAATTACGAAATTAATTAATTTTTCTAAAAAAGAAACTTGCTAAATTCACTAAGCATTCCGAACAAAAGTGTTTAACTAAGTTGATTCATATTGTTAATAGATTATTTGCACCCCATAATCATGGTAGAAATGTTTTCTTTTAAAGTGTCACAAGATCGACTTTAAAATTTAAAATACCATAAATTTTTTTATTTGAATCTAAGGATTAAATTATGTGTTCGCCAACGCATTATTATCACAATGTTACCTGATTTGGCTATGAATAAGTTTTCAAAGGAAGAAAAAAGGTAAACTATACTTAGGTCCTAAATTATATTTTATATTAATACTTTTATCCCTCTATTTTAAAAAAATTACTACTTCTTCTGTCATATAATTTTTGTCTTAGTTGACTTGTATACAAATTAACATAATTTGTCTATATAATTAAACTAACTTATTTATTTTTTCTAGTATATCCTTGTATTAGTATTCTATTAACATTAAATGATCCATGTTAAATTATTACTGAAATCAATTAAACTATAATTATTTATTCACTAATCAAGTCAATTTGCTAATATATAAGTGAAAGATTAAAGGTTGATATTTTTTGTTTATATCAAGATTTAATTAATGGTAATATAGTAATTTGACTAATATATTTATTGAGAAAGCGGCAGGAGAAATAGTAAATTTTAAACATTGTGCACTTCTGATAAAGGAAGCAACATAACAATTTAGGATGATGAAAAGTAAAAACCTTTTAAATAACATTCACCAAATTGATAGAACATTTGCGGTGTCTACGTCTTTTACAATAGGTAAAAAGACCATCTGATTGGCATCTGAGTTGTCACATTTAATAATAAGAGACAACTACCTACCAATAGATTAGCCAGTCTAATTAAAACACATGGGATAAGCTAAGATTTCAGTCTATAATTTTACTAAGAAAAAAATGGATAAAATAGTAATAAAAATCCGATAATGACAATTAATTATTGATTTGGGACGCTCGGTGTGTAGCCAAGCAGGCAATTAATTTTCTCCAGTAATTGTTAAAAAAAAAAAATGTTAACAACCATTATAAAAGAAAAGAAAAGAAAAGAAAAGAAAAGAAAAGAGAAAACAATGTATATGTATCGTTTGCATCCTAATACTATTAGACACAAATTTGTTTCGTTTGAAAATAGGTAATCAAATTATTCTGCAGAGATAATATAATACAAAGTAATAAGATAAAATTAAAACAGATAAGGATTTTTTTTGAAATGGATAAGAAGTTTTCAAAACTTCCCAAATTAATCGTTATGCACTTAATTAACCAAACCAAAAGACTTATCTTTTTTTTTTTTTTAATTAAGAAAATATCAAGCAGTATCTTTCTTTATGCTTATATATAGATCCTCTATACCTCCTCAATCTCATTCCTATTCCAGGAACGAGTTTAGAAAAACAAAGCAAGAAGGGTTTCTTTCTTCTTCATCCTTTCTTTCTGGTTACATTTCTTTGTCATGACTGCTTCGAAGTTTATTGCAGTCTTGGCTTTTCTTTTTATTGTGTTAAGCAACAATGGCGTAGAGGGATCTCATAAGATTTATCCAGAGTATCAAAGCCTTTTTCCTGTTAAGATCAGTAAAACCCATAGAACTGGCTACCACTTTCAGCCTCCTAAGCATTGGATCAACGGTATCTTCTTCTTCTCCTTCACTCTAACCCATTTTCTCTTGTTGTCTTGACCTTTCGTTTGCAACTCTATTAGCTGTAATTGTGTTTGTATGTTTGTTTGTTTGTTTGTTTTAATTTTATAAATTGCATTGAAAGGGGCTTTATTTTCCTTTTTAAATTTTACAAGAATCTTAATAATATATTCGTGATGTTTTAATATCTTTTAGTGAAACTTATTCACTAATAGCCACCTTCACTGTTCCATTGCTTTTGAGTTCAATCTGACTAGCTTTATCTTCTTGTGATTACAGTTTTTTTTTTTTTTATAATTTATTTTTTTGCTTCTGGGGAGTGGAACGTTTGAATTACACCCATGGATCCTGAAAGATTAAATGTGTGATGGTGATAAATTGAGTAACGGTGGTGAAATTAAGTCAATGAAATACAATCACATTTAATATTTATCATAGAAAAAGAAAAGACCTTACAGATCCAAAACACATCAGCGTCACAAGTAATATTAAACAGGGAAATGCCAAGTGGATATAAACTTTTTAAGTCACAAGTAATGACAAATTCTCAATTTTTTATAAACTTTTCAAAGTCATATATGTATATATAATTCTTATTCCCTGAGACAATGGCAGGCAGTGTCTTGATGTTCCAAACCCATGGGTCCCTTTAGAAGTAGAAACCTTTGAAGTTTATTTGCTCTCATTGATCAATTGGATGAAATTATGGATTTGTTTTATTTGCATTTATTTTCATACTTGTTGTTATCACATATTTCTTTTTGAAAAGGATAAAAAGAAAATTTCTTTTGGGCTTTTTTTTTTTTAAAAAAAAAAATTTGAAGAGAAAAGGACAATTCTTAAATTATTTTTTTTTCCTTTAATAAGTATTAATAAGGTTTTGCAGGTTCCCTAAGTAATTAATGTAAAGTTGCTAAGATTTAACAGGAACAAGAAGCAAGAAAGAGCATGCATATGAACTTTTTGTTTTGTCTTTCTTTTTCTCAATTAAAAATTGGTGGGAACAAGAAATTTATAACTTTTATGTGAAAGAAATGCACTTAACCCATCTTCTTTGGAGACAAAAAGTATTATAGACCATTTTCTGATTTGGCTTTAATGCTTTGAGAGTATAATGCCCAATTATTGAATTTTCAAGTGAAGAACTATTAATTCTTGAATTTCAAAGTCAAGCACTAATATTTTAATTTTAGACATATGTTCATATTAATATGTATTTTTTTTATTGTGTTTATGTACGCATATCTATGTGAATGATAAGTATTTATTCAGATTGAAATAAGTATCTATTATCATACTCAGTTTATTTCTAATGTTTTTAGAAATAAAAGGTCTCAATCCCAGTAATATTTATACATTATATTTTTCTTGTACTTCCTTACATATTAACAAATATATCTTTTTAAATTGAAAAATTAATAAGGGGTGAAAAAAGTTAATTATAATTTTTCTTTCATGGAAACTTGCATGTATTTTGGAAATAAAAAATAATAGTGCACAATCATTTTCATTGTTATTAGATAAGTATAATCGGTTTAGATCTATGTGTCAGCCGATTCAATAGGGTTCTCTTCCTTAAATGGTTCAAAATCAAAATCAATCTAATTTAAAATCAATTCATCGGTTTTTCAGATTAGCCAGATTAGCCGTTAAGTGAGGCAGGATTTAATAACTATTCTTTTTAGTTCAAAGAAAGTATCTATTACTCTACCCCTTTCACGTAGAGTACTTGTTGTCAATGTCATGATATCGGTGTATAATTTATAGCCCTACAAAATAATAGTTAAGGGTAAAAATGATCCTTATCAGCCTGTTAAGGGCAATAAAGTTCTACAAGGTCACATGTTTTTAGAGGGTTTGGGCATTTTGTGGTGATCCATATTGATGACATTCTGTTGGCTAGAGTACTTGAAGCTTGCATGCTTAAACTCCTTGAGGGTGATATCCTAGTCAGCATTTGGTTCTGGTAGTTCCTCTAATTCATTTTTGAATATTTTTGTCTTTAAAGAGCCACTAGATTGTTGTCCTCTGTCGCACTTTCATGAAATAATACTTGGAGAAGGAAAAAGAAAAGGTTATGTTTAGGCATTTCTTGAAGTAGATCTCATGATTCTTTTTATTACTTTTTGTGCTTCACATCTGCCAGATCTCTACTTTATTTTTTTTTTTTAAACAAAAAAAATTTTCCAAGAAATCCACTTTTTTCTTTTCAAGAAATCAAGAACCAAAGAAGGATCTTGAATGCCGCCCCACCATGATTAGAAATTATTATTTTATCTAATTTCAATTCTCAATGCTTGTTTGCACGTGCAAATGGAGCACTCTAATTAAGTCTCTTCTACGTTTAGATTATTTAGGAAAGAAAAATAAGAAGAAAAAATAAGGTTATTCGTTGTTTATGTTTTTTTAATTTTTTCTTCGATCTAAAGGGAAAATTTGAAAAAGAAAATAAGGTTATTCTGGTTCCTTCTTATTTTCTTTCCAGTCCCCAAACAAAGAAAAATATTATTTTCTTCAATTCTTTTCATATTTCCTTGCTGTCCAAACATAGTCTCAACAATTAGGGACTTTGCTATTATATATTTTTATTCTTTATTGAGAATTCTAATAATTAGAAATATAAAAATATAAATTAGACAAATTGGATCTTAACCTAGCTCAAGTTCTGATAGTGCAACACTGCCCTATTAACATCCCACATTAAATTTATGGCAAAATGCCTAATATGTTTTGATGTTCAATATATAAAATTGAAAAAGAATCACTAATTTTGATTTTCCTTTTGGTGGTGCATGTGATCCTTTCTTGGTTGCTCAAATTTGCGGGACAAATTTAAACTACAATAGATCCAAACGGTGAGTCTTTTTTTTTTCTTTTCACCATGAAAATGGAAAACCCATTTGATTATAGTGTTTCAATTTTATTTAATCTTACAAGTTAAATGGATAATCTGATCACAGGGCCTATGTACTATAATGGGATATATCATCTCTTCTATCAGTATAATCCCAAAGGTGCTGTTTGGGGCAATATCGTTTGGGCACATTCTGTTTCAAAAGATTTGGTCAATTGGGAATCCCTTGAGCCTGCAATTTACCCTTCAAAATGGTTTGATAAAAAAGGATGTTGGTCCGGATCCGCCACAATCCTACCGGGTAATAAACCCATAATCCTTTACACTGGAATCGACCCACACGAACGTGAAATTCAAAACTATGCAATACCCAAAAATTTATCCGACCCATATCTCCGTGAGTGGATCAAGCCCGATGACAATCCGGTGGTGAATCCGGGCAAGGGCGTGAACGCCAGCGCCTTCCGAGACCCTACCACGGCTTGGTTCGCTGATGGGCATTGGAGAATCGTGGTTGGGAGTAGAAGAAAGCATAGAGGCATGGTATATTTGTATAGGAGTAAGGATTTTAAGACGTGGATACAGGCCAAACACCCACTTCATTCGGTTGCCGAAACGGGTATGTGGGAGTGCCCGGATTTATTTCCCGTTTCAAGATCCAGTCAAAACGGGTTGGACGCTTCAGTTGCTGGAGAACATGTGAAACATGTATTTAAAGTTAGCTTAGACTCGAAAAGATACGAATACTATACGGTTGGTACTTATCATAAGAAGAATAAGGAAAGATATATTCCTGATAAAGGTTCAGTTGATGGTTGGGCTGGGCTTAGATTTGATTATGGGAATTTTTATGCCTCGAAGACTTTCTTTGACCCAAGCAAGGATAGGAGGATTTTATGGGGTTGGGCTAATGAGTCTGATACGCCTAAGGATGATACACGCAAAGGATGGGCTGGCATTCAGGTAAATACTGGTTAATGATTTTTATTTTTTAAATTGGGATTTTTTTTAAAAAAATTTGGTTACTAAATTTATTTTATTTTGCATTGGTCTAATTTAGACTATTCCACGGAAGATTTGGCTAGATGCTAGTGGCAAACAAGTGGTACAATGGCCTGTTGAAGAATTGGAGAAATTGAGAGGACATAAGGTTCAATGGACCAATAAAAAACTGGAAAGAGGAAAATATTTTGAAATCAGAGGCATCACTGCTGCCCAGGTTTTTTTTTTTTTTTTTTTTTATATTGAAATCAGAGGCATCACTGCTTGCCCAGGTTTTTTTTTTTTTTTTTTAGTTTTTGTAATTTCATTCTTTTCTTCTTTCTTCTTATTACTCATTATTATTATCACAATTTTTTGAGAATACCAGCATAATATTATAAAATTGAACTATAAATAATTTTTTAATCGTTTGATTTATTAAACAGGTGATGTAGACATGTTACCTTCTCATTTTCAAGCCTGACAAAGTATTTGAAACTTTTGACCCGTTTTTTTTTTTTTTTTTTTTAGCTTTTTGTTTTCCTTCTTTTCTTCTTTCTTCTTATTATCATTATTATTATTACAATTTTGAGAAATAACCAGATAAATAATTATAACAAATTGAAACTATAAATAATTTTTTAATCGTTGATTTATTAACAGGCTGATGTAGATGTTACCTTCTCATTTTCAAGCCTTGACAAAGTTGAAACTTTTGACCCTAAATGGGCTAACATTCCTGCACAAGAAGTTTGTGCTCAAAAGGGATCCAAAAGTCAAGGGGAATTGGGCCCATTTGGGCTCTTGACATTAGCATCTGAACATCTTGAAGAATTTACTCCTGTCTCCTTCAGAGTATTCAAAGCACCAAAAAAACATGTTGTTCTCCTTTGCTCTGATGCAAGAAGGTTTGTTCTTTAAATTTTAGTCTTCTTTGCATTTATCATCTAAAAAAAGAGCATTAAGTGACAAGCCATCTTTTGAACAGCTCTTCCTTGGGGCCTGCATTGTACAAGCCATCTTTTGCTGGATTTGTTGATGTGGATTTATCGAACAAGAAGCTTTCAGTTAGGAGTTTAATTGATCATTCAGTGGTAGAAAGTTTTGGAGCTGGAGGTAAAACAGTGATAACATCTAGGGTTTATCCTACAATTGCTATCAGAGACAAGGCTCATTTGTTTGTGTTCAACAATGGATCACAGACTATTACAGTGGAAAATCTTAATGCTTGGAGCATGAAAAAGCCTGTCATGAATGTTCCTCTAAAGAACTGAGGGGAAAAATAAAGAAGGGAAGATGTATGTTTAATTTTAGTTTTAGCTTTAGCATCCAAATTGAAAATTTTGGATCAACTATTATATTAGAAGTTTCTGTAGAGTGCTAGTTTGAGTTATGAGATAAAATAAATATCTTTATCATCCATGTAACAGATTTAACTCTTTGAGTAATTTGTAGTTTTCGCCTTACTCTAATAGTTTCCAATATAAATTTACTTGCAAAGAAAGTTCTAATTACAAAATAAAATATTAATGGATGCGCAAGTATAAATCATTTTCATAATTTCATATAATATATGATACTAAATTTGCATAATTTTATAAATTAAAATGAATTATCAATATTGCACACAAGTCAAAATTTAAATTTATTATTAAATCCAAAATTAATCTTTTTAAATTCAGTTTAGGTTTGAGAATTTGTTGTAATCTCATCATATATAGAACCATCGTTCTTTTTCTTTTTTCTTTTTTTTTTTCCTTTTTTAATTTAAGAACAATTCCATTAATAATAGTAGAAATGATATAAATATAGCTTCTCCAAAATAAATGGACTAAACCACCTCTTAATTTAGTTGTGACATTGGCTTAACTATATATGTGGGTGGAATGGGGTGGATTGACCTAATTCATTCAAAGAGGAGAAATAGGCCTGTGCATTATAATTACTTTATTTGGTTTTTTTTTTTAAAATTTATTTAAGTCTTAATGAGTCGAAATAATATCGTGGTTATTTGATTTAGTTATTTAAATAATTTGATTTTTTTTTAAACGCGAGAATTACTTATTGCTACTTAAAAATAATGAAAGAGGCTTTATTCTCATTTATTATTACTAGTTTTTAATAACGTGGAAAACACGCTGACTGTATTTATTATTTATACTCATGATTTAATATGTTAAATAATAAATTTAAATTTAAATATGAGCATAAATTTAAATATTAATCCTTACTAATATAAATATTAGTCTTTTTATTAAATTTTAATACTGAAATATATATTTTTTATTTTATAGTTTAATTGTGATAGTAGTGATTGTAATTAAATATTACTTTTTTTTAATGTCAATTTTAAAATATCAACTCCTAAAATCTCTAATTGAGTTAGTAAGTTTAAATATTAGTTCTGTAATAATGTCTTCAGTTATGAGATAGGTCTTTCCTAACTCAAAAGACTCTTTAGTGAAATTAAATTCTAATTTATTAATCTCATTATACACTTAATATACATAGTTAATTAATGAACTATTTAATTGAATAAATATCAATATAATAAAATCATTTGATAGAGATTAATTATTAAATGGTATTAATTGATAAAATTAAAAGAACTGGTTTGATTTGATAAAAATGTTAAAATTTAGGCTTTTATTTTTAGTATACATGGATATATGACTTTGCGCTAATATTGGATGTTGTAGGGCACACTTGTCAGAGATAACTGTCACGTTAGCATGAAATTGACGGAAGACAAACGAAAGCTGGAATTGATAAAAAAAACTAAATACGCGGTAATTATTGATAAAATTAAAAGAACTTGCTAAAATTAATAAAAATGTCAAAACTGAGGCTTTTTTTTTATCATTAGGCCATTTTATATCTATTCAAAAGGGGAAAAAAAAAAATTAAGCTCTGAATGCAAATGAAAATAAAAATAGAGGTAAAGGTATAAATCGGTTGAAATGTAATGAAATAAGCTTATTTCTATTAGAATTTAAAGATTTATTCCATTTCATTCTGAATTTTTATGAATGAAAAAATTCATTCCATTTCTTCTATTAAAATTTAATTGGAAAAAAATGATTTCCAAAATTCAAAATTTTCGTACCTTAATAAATAAATAACATTTTCAACATATGTCCAAACATGTAGACTAAAAGGTAATAGTCAAGTTGTTACCACTCTAGTTTTTTTCAACTCGACAATGTATAATTCTTTGTTTCTTCTCTATCTCAAAAATTCATGTACTAAGTTGATCTATTTCAACATCAACCAATAACTACAAACCTTTTTTTTTAAAAAAATAAAATTTCATACCTTACGGTTATATTTTAAATGTATGTTCATCAAGTTGCTCAACAACTAAAAATTTTTAAACTCAATAATTAGTTATTGATGCTTTAAAAAAAATGAAAGAGGCTTCCTTCTCATTATTTATTATTATTATTATTACTATTATTATTATTAGAAAAAAGGAAAGGAGAGATAAAATATTTAATTGGAAACCTGTTGTGGCTCAGTTGGCAATGCAGGCTGAGCATGTGAGAAGAGTTTTTGGGTCGATTTCCACTAAATACCTCTAGGAAGGGGTGAAGAGTCTTAACTGTGACTAAACTCTAAGCCGGATTAGGCGGCCCCTAGTAATAGGGTTCCGATACCGGTAGTTTATAAAAAAAATATTTAATTGGAATGGAATAAACCAAACCAAATTACACCCATTAAAAAAGAGAAAAGGATGGGAGACATGTAATCCTATCCAAAAAACATTAACAGAAAGGAAAGAGGAAACTCTATTTTGCCAAAAATAGGTAATACAAAAATAATATAGGGCGGATAAGACAAGTCAAACAAAGGTAAATCAAAACAACAACTAAAGAAGTTTTCAAAAACTTTTCCTCAGATTAATTAAGAACCTCAAAGTTAACTTATTATTCTCAATTAATATAATCATTTGTCCAAAAATAGCACAATAAATCTTTATTTATATATTTTCATCCTCCAAAAGCAAAATCAAATTCAATATCAAATAAAAAGTTTCAGCAAAGAAAAACAAGAAAAGGGTTTCCTTCCTATTCTCTTAAGTATTTTTCTCGGTCATGATAGCTTCAAAGCTTATTTTCGTCCTTGCTTTTCTTTTTGTGTTAAGCAAAAATGGCATAGAAGGGTCTCACCAGATATACCCTGAGTTTCAGAATCTGCTTGCAGCAACGGTTAGCGAAACCCATAGAACTGGCTATCACTTTCAGCCTCCTAAGAACTGGATCAATGGTATATATCATTTATAACCCTACTTCTTTTCATTACATTTTATTATTTATTTATTTATGTTTCTATTAATTGGTAATAGGTTTGCTTCCTGTCATTTTGCTTTTGTTTGCACAATTATTTGTTTTTCAAATTTAAAATTTTGATGTTCACTTTGTTTTTTTCCTCTATAATTTATTAGTGGTAATGAGAAATTTTCATTAGTAGCCTGCTTTGTTCTACCAATGTTTTTGAGTTTAATCTCCATAAGTCAATAACTAATGATAGTTTGGGTTTGGCATAGCTTAATTAATCTTTAGGTTGATTAAATGTTTTACAAATATCATATCTACCCCTTTTAATAAGAAAGTTGCTCATATAAATGAATTCAAGATGTGAAATTCATTTACAAATTATATTTTACGTGTTAGTAATAAATTAAAAATAAAAAATTAATTTATTTTTAGTTCCTAAAAAAAACCTTGGCATAATAAGTTTAGAATGCTAGAAAGATGGATAGTTTTGTCATAAAATTTTGTGTTATTTAAGTTTGTGTATTCATTTGAAAATTTCACCATTTTTTGGTGAAATTTGGTTTAGTTATATTCAAATCCATAAAATTGAATTCTTTATTTTTTTTATACCAAATACAAAAATTTGATTTATAAATGAATTCCATAAAATTTTATAGAATTCATTGATTCCAAATAAGGGATTAAATTTACAAAAACTAGAAGGTATTGATAACTTGAGAAGAAAGACAAAATTATAGATGATGAATGACTCAAGTGGTAAAGCGTACTTGAGTTTAGAGGATAATTTTTAAGACCACGGTATTAAATCCGTAGAAAAAATCACTTACAAAGAGGCATCATAAACGAGATAAACTCGTGACATTTAAGCAACTAATTTCCTTTATTCTCTTCAATGATAATGTTGGTACTAGTCTTTGATTTCCCAAATTAAGTAGGCCTCATAAAACTACGAAGTTTATGAACATTTGTATTTAGAAAGAAATTAGCTTTCTTTTGGGGGTTTTCTTTCTTTCTTTCTACTGTTATTTTAGGGATTCAAGATTTTTGAAGGATCTGAGTTTTAAATTAGTGCAAGCTTGAAACTCAGAGAGATTTGAAAGCACTTTACCATTATCTGATGTTCTTTAATTCAATAATAATGCCCATTTATTGATTTTCAAACTCAAAACTTAATTAGGATACACAATTGAATTAGTGGCTTTTTTTTTTTTCTTTTCAAGCATTGGTTTGTATTAATTACATATGGAAAGAATACATTTTTTTCAAATTCACAAATAAAAAAATGTCATATTAGTTTAAAAGAAAGAGAACATAAATTTTTGTAAGAATATGCGAGAAAGAGTTGATTTACATTTTTTGCTAATTTCGTATGAAGTCAAGTATACACACAAAGCATAGCGTATTAGTAAGTGCATATATGATCTAGCAATAAATTTAGGTTTGAATTTCCTTTTTCTAATGCTTAAAAAAAAAAAGCAAATAAAGGTAAAGAGTAATAAGCTCATTTATCGAAAGTATACAAATGCTTTGTTCTAGAAAAAGGAAAAAACGTCATGAGACTCTTTTAGAGAAAAGTGTAAACTATTTTATATGAAAAAACTTCAACAATTTTATCAATGTAAAAAACAAATAAAGAATTACGAAATAAAAGATGCCATTCAGCTAAAGTAATAAACATCAATTTAAAAGAAATAGAACAGAATTACAATTCATATTTATATTTTTAAAATATTATTTTAAATTTATATTTTAAATAATTAAATAAATTTTATTTATTATATTGAAAATTAAATCAAAAATTAAATAATAATATTATAATATAAATCTAAATTATTTAAATACAATATGAAATATTTCTTAAAAAGTAAATAAAATAAGATTATATAATTGACAATTACATTTTATTTCCAATTTTAAAATAAATTACATGCAACTTTAGAATATTATATAGACTAATAGCCGAGGATAGTGGTCAATCAAGTGTGGTTTGATTAGTTTCTTCACGTTTTGTAAAAAACGTGAAAAGTAATAAATCTCGAATTTTAAATTATCATAAATTTGGTAAATATTATTCAAAGGGGAAGACTATCCTATTGTGTAGCTGAAAATATTATTTTGATCTATTACACCTCCTAACTATAAAAAGGAAAAAAAAAAGCTAAGGGCAGTGCTATCCTTTCATGAAGAGTATCACCTTCCTATTATATGGCAATCATGGTTTAAAAGGACCAGATTGTTTAGGCTTGGACATTTAGTGGTGATCACATTGAGGATAGTTCATTTGTTAGTCCTCTTTCATGATTAAAATTATTTGTGGTCACTATCTTTTTTCTTTCAGCATTTTGTTTTTTATGCAATTCCTCTTAATCTTGCTAATATTCTCATTTAGCAAAATCACTAGATTGTGTCCTCTAGAGAATTCAATTCCAATATAATGAAATAATTCTAGGAAAGAAAAAAAAAAAGTCACTAGATTATTTTTAGAACTTTTTGTGTAATTGTACTTCACATTTGCCAAACTTCTTTTCTTTTTTTTTACCCTTCCCAAAAAAAAAAAAAAAATAATAATAAAGCAAAAAAAAAAAAAAAAGATTCCCAATTTTTCATTTCACTATGATTATTAACTTTTATTAATCAAATCTTAAACTTCAACACTAATTAATGGCCAATGGCTAGAACTGATAGTAAGAATGATTTACTTTCTGCATACTTATTTTCTTCTTTATTTTTTTTTTTCTAACATGATGCTTTAACATGTTTTGATATTTATATATCAAATTGAAGAAGAATCCTAACTTCTACTTTTTTTTTCCTTGATTTTTTTGGTTGCTGAAATTTATGGGACAAATTTAAACTACATTAGATCCAAATGGTACGTTCTTTACCTCTACATTTTCATTTCATTTGAATATTTGTTCTTATATACAGCACAATTTCTTCTAATTTTCAATTTATGTATTTATTTATACAATTTCTTGATTTTTCAATTTGTTTCACAACGGAATTTCTATTTGAACGGGTTCGAGGTGAATTCTATTAATTGTTTCCATCTTCTATTATTGATAATATGAGCAGGGCCAATGTACTACAATGGGGTATACCATCTCTTCTACCAATACAACCCTAAAGGTGCAGTTTGGGGAAACATAGTTTGGGCTCACTCTGTATCAAAAGATCTGATCAATTGGAAAGCTCTTGAGCCTGCAATTTCCCCTTCTAAACGGTTCGATGAAAAGGGATGTTGGTCTGGCTCAGCCACAATCCTTAAGGACAAAGGACCCATAATCCTTTATACCGGTATTGATCCAAAAGAACGCCAAGTCCAAGACTACGCCATACCCAAAAATTTATCTGACCCATATCTTATTGAGTGGGAAAAACCCGATGAAGGCAATCCGTTTATTGACCCGGACAAAGATGTAAATGCTAGCGCATTCCGCGACCCGACCACCGCTTGGTTTGTCGACGGGGAGTGGAAAATTTTGATAGGAAGTAGGATGCTGAAACAGCAAACCGGCGTTGCGTTTTTGTATAAGAGTAAGGATTTTAAGAAATGGACTAAGGCCAAAGAACCACTTCATTCGGTGGAAAATACCGGTATGTGGGAATGCCCGGATTTTTTCCCGGTGGAGAAATCCGGTCAAAATGGTTTGGACACTTCAGTTGTTGGGGAAAATGTGAAACATGTTTTTAAGGTTAGCTTGGATTTAACAAGATATGAATACTACACAGTTGGTACTTATGATACGCAAAAGGATAAGTATATTCCTGATAAAGATTCAGTTGACGGTTGGGGTGGACTTAGATTCGATTATGGGAATTTTTATGCTTCGAAAACGTTCTTTGACCCAAGCAAGAATAGGAGGATTTTGTGGGGTTGGGCTAATGAGTCTGATCACGTGCATGATGATAAGAAAAAAGGATGGGCTGGAGTTCAGGTAAATATTGTTGGATTATTTGCTAATTAACAATTTTTTTTTTTTTTCAAATGGGACCATTTTAGTGGTTAATAATTTTTTTTTTTCGAATATTTAGTCAATTCCAAGGAAGTTATGGCTAGATCCTAGTGGGAAACAAATAGTACAATGGCCTGTTGAAGAATTGGAGAAATTGAGAGGGCAAAATGTTCAATTTGGAAATCAAGAGGTCAAGAAGGGAGAACATGTTGAAGTCAAAGGCATCACAGCTGCCCAGGTTTTTGATTTTTCTTTTTCTTTTTATTTGAAATTTATAGTCTCCCTGCGACCAAAACATTATATATTGATACTCAAATGCCCATATATTATACTCTAATACCTTAAAATCATTTCTTTGTAATAAATCATCTCCTTTTTAAACCAAAAGAAAAAAGAAAAAATAAAATAGACGTCTGGTAAGTCGAGGAATAATAATAAATCCCATGAATTTTGAAGCTATAGATAAGTTTTTAATTATTTATTTATTGACAGGCCGATGTTGAGGTTACGTTTACATTTTCAAGCCTAGACAAAGCCGAAAAATTTGATCCTAAATGGGCTAATATTCCTGCACAAGATGTCTGTGCCCAAAAGGGATCTAAAGAAGAAGGTGGTCTTGGACCATTTGGACTATTGACATTAGCTTCAGAAAAACTTGAAGAATTTACTCCTGTTTTCTTCAGAGTATTCAAAGCAGAAAACAAGCACAAAGTTCTCCTTTGCTCTGATGCAAGAAGGTTTGTTATATTTATTTTAAATAATTTTTCATCTATATTAAATATCGTAAACATGTTACATATTTATTTTGATACATATATATTTTCTCTTCTATATTTGAACAGCTCTTCCAAGGGGAAGAAACTATACATGCCATCTTTTGCTGGATTTGTTGATGTGGAGATCTAAGAAGAAGGTGGTCTTGGGGACCATTTGGACTATTGACATTAGCATTCAGAAAAAACTTTGAAGGAATTTTACTCCTGTTTTCTTCAAGTATTCAAAGGCAGAAAACTAAGCACAAAGTTCTTCTTTGCTCTGATGCAAGATAGGTTTGTATATATTTATTTCTTAAATAAATTTTCACTCTATATTTAAATATCCGGATAAACATCCTTTGCTCTGATGCAAGAAGGTTTGTTATATTTATTTTAAATAATTTTTCATCTATATTAAATATCGTAAACATGTTACATATTTATTTTGATACATATATATTTTCTCTTCTATATTTGAACAGCTCTTCCAAGGGGAAGAAACTATACATGCCATCTTTTGCTGGATTTGTTGATGTGGATTTAGCAGATAAGAAACTTTCACTTCGAAGTTTGATTGACCATTCAGTAGTAGAAAGTTTTGGAGCTGGAGGCAAAACAGTGATAACGTCTAGGGTTTATCCTACAATTGCTATCGATAACAAGGCTCACTTGTTTGTATTCAACAATGGAACTCAGAGTATTATAGTAGAGAAGCTCAGTGCTTGGAGTATGAGTAAGCCTGCAATGAATTTACCCCTATAAGAGTACCAATGATAAGAGGGATTTAATTAAATTCGATCAATATTTTTTTTATCCAATTAGAAGTTATTCATAATATTGTTAATTCGTACATTGCAAAATAACTAACATTGACACAATGTAGTATTCTTCAAGTTGATGTTTAATTATTTTCTTTTTGTTGGTTATTTTCACATAGATTAAGAAAGTAACAATTATTATGGTTAAAAGATAATTTTATTTATATAATTTTTTTATTATATCTATCTTAAATAACACATGAGAAATTACTAATTTAAAATAATAAGTAATTATTAAAAAGGGTTATTGAAAGTAAGATAAGATTTAAAAAGGATATAATAGACAATTTAAAGATTAACTATAATGTAAAAAAAAAAAAAAGGAAAGTAGACTATATTTTTAGGACAATCTAAAAAAAGAAATATTAACTATCTTTTTGGAACGACGGAGGATGTACCCAATAAATTTATTTTTTTATACAAGTTTATTTATAGTTATCTTTCAATAGACGAATACCTTAAAAAAAATGTAACTAGTCGGTTTATTGCGGCGTGATCCTAACAAATGTTAAAATACCCTGACTTTTTATTTTAAAAACTTTGGAATTTTTATTAAATAAAAAAAATCCGAATTTTTTATAGCATGGGTTGGTAAGATCGAGCGATTCTAATTTGAGCCCAAAGTTTTACGAGTTGGGCCCAAGCCCAAATAAAATGTCGAAAATTTTGAATCGTAAACAGGTAAGATTTTTGAGAAATAATACGAAACCCCGTAATTTAACCTATTATGAATATATATAAATTAATTATCCTAAAAATCAAATATTATTACTATTAATATTTCTATTATTATTATTATTGAGTAAATGGAGAAAAAGTTACGGAACTAACAATCGAAAATAAAATTGGAAACCGGACCCATGAAATCAAAATTGATTTTTGGAAAAACCACACGAATAACCTGAAAACGCAAGTGAAAAACCTGCAAACCGAGCAAAATCAAGCCAAAATCGTTCCAAACCAGTTCGAATCGAACCGGAATGGCCTAGAATTTGCTAGAAACCGCCTTTCTTCTTTCTTTTTTTTCTTTCTCTTCTTCTTCTTCGGCGCGCAGCGACCTCACTGCCTCTCCTCCTCTCATTTTTCCGACCACCAGAACCAGCGCCACCTCGCCGTCGCGTCACCGCCGCAGATGCTCAAGCTTCCTCCTCTCTGGCGAGTGCAGCGATGGCAGAAGTCGCAGTTCTGCTCCACCGCCAGATCGCGTCTCCTGCTCGATTTCCGGCGACCTCATCGTTTTTCGACGATCCCCATTAGCAAGGTGAGTCCAAAATGCCTTCTTGTTATCTTTAGATAAATAACTAATGGACAAACTGAATTTGAATGAGCCATTTGAGATGATTGAAGATTTAGGTTTTGTCAATTGAGGTTTTGTCAATTGATAAAATTTGGGGTTTAAGTAATTAATCGCTATATTTTGTAGATATTGATCTCAAAAATCGAACTTTACAGGAAGCATTCTTTATTTTCAGCATACTGTTGTTTGATCTCAGGCCTGCTGGCCGTCCGGCCACCGTGGCCTGTGGCAACGGTGGATGTTTCCGGTGACCGGAAAGTGCTAAATAGGCAGAATTTTGGACTCAACACGTAGAGTATGACTATATTATTAGATTTGCAATCTGACATTGATTGATATTCAAACTATTGTTTGACTTGAATTTATAATTAGGCTTAGAAAGTATAAGACTGTAGAAAATTAAAGGATATTATGCCTTAACATTAGTTAATCAAGGATATTAGTTAAATAATTACATGAATAATACCTAAGAATGATTATTATGAATCCACACGCGAAAGATAAATTGAAATATTTGAAATAGTAGGTTTAATTCTTGCTAGGAATAGTTAATCGGTATATTTTAAGTTGTAAGTTAGATCTCTTAGTAGATGTATAATTATTCTTTAAGATTTTAATTTAATAGAAGCATTGTTCGTATGGCTAATATAAAATTTAACAAAAGGTATAAAATGTGGGTTATACTTTAAGCAAGAATGAAGAAATGAAAGCTTGATAAAGAGTACTATAATAGTTAGACACTACGAAACTATCAAGTGAAAGTAATTGAAATTAACTTAGTGATATAAGTTTTATTCGATTATATATATATTAAAGCTTTTATTTGTTTGGTAATTAGCTATAGAAGCTAGTTATAATTATAAGTAAATAATGATCGTCATTATCATTCGAACATGATTATTATAAATTAATGGTTGAGTGTTGACATTGTTGTTTTGGAAGGAGGATGGGGTTTTAAATTGATTGATTGCCCGACGGATGGGCTGTGCGTATTGATGGATAAATATATATAATGTTATTGTGACATTTAAACAGGTAGATAATCCTATTTTTAGGGGAGATGCTGTCGAAATTTCGATAGAACCTAGATCAGTTTTCCGATAGGAAACATAGATCAAGTTTTAATTAAATAAACATAATAAAAGCTATTTAGACAAATTCTATAATTTGATACATAATAAATAAAGTGCTCTAATTAATTTATTATTTTCATTATTATGTTATTATTATTTTATTTTATTTTTTATTATTATTTGTTGTTTATTGTTAACACTATTTACATTTATTTATGCATTTTATTATTATTCGTTTAATTATTCAATTATGTATTTATTTTATTTATTATTATTTATTTATTTATTTATTTATTTGCATTTGAGTATGGATGCCTAATTGTGCATTGCATTACGATGTTTAATTGATCCGCATTTAATTGCAATGCTTGATTAGTTGTGATGTGACAATGCTTTGCCATGTTTGTGTGGGATTGGGATGAAGTGGGTCACTATGGGACTGTGAGGACAGTTTACCGTCGGCCATGTATGGGGAGATTGGCGCCCCCGTGTGCACCTACCGTTACTGTTACCGTTAACCACAGGGTGGCCTCCTAATGGTATGGAAAAGAAAAGAGAGAATGGAAAATTTGATCGCAGTCCGCAGGGTGGCCTTCTGTTGTGTGAGCCTAAATGATCTAGATTGGATGGAGACCACCGAGTGCCCTCCTGTTGGTATAATATAATATAATATATATATATATATATATATATATATATATTATATATAATATATATATATATATATATATAATATATATATATATATATAAATATACTATAGAAGAAGAGAGAGAATACGAAAAACAATGAGAGGGCTGGTCAATAGTAGATTAGACCGGTCGCCAGTATGGGGATCGGCTCCATGGTGCACTACGTGAGTGGAATTAAGCCAATGTGGGAGGACGGTGCTCAATCGGGGTTTTCGGTGACTCTACCTGACTAATTTTCCACGTGATGTGATTATATGAAGATGTTTATGATTGTGAGTGCTGGTGATATGCCATTTGTGTGACTGGCTGCGTGAGCATATAACTAGTCGGGTGACTAGATTAATATGTGTACACATTTGTGTGACTGTGTGTGGACTGCATGTGTTGTGCAATAATTATTACTCCTTAGAAAACTCACATGTCTTGTTTAAATTTTTCAGGAAGTAAGTTTATCTTTAATTCGGTTTAAACTATGTTTCTTCGCCGCAGGGTTATTAAGAAGTTTTCCTAATTCCATAATTATTTTGCTATATAATTATATGTATAAGAAGCTATGTATAACAAACAGTTAGTGACTCCGCAGTTGTAGAATTTATATATATCTAGTCGTGTAGTAATACAGATGAAGTAATTCTGTTAGCCCATATTAAAAATGTATTGTATTGTAAATGAGGCTCGAACTGTGAAATGTTAAAGATGATAAATTGGGCCGAGATATAATAAAATTTTGAGGGATATTTTTCAAAATTTTGAGGTATATTTTTCATATTAATATAGGCTGAATGTTTGAAATTTATATTGAGATAATAGATTTTAGTGATTCAGGCTTACTATGGGCCTCGAGGGCCTTAAACTTACCTGGGCTCTAGTGCCGGTTCAGCCCATGGAAACGGGTCGTGACAAAGTCTTTGAAAAATCAATTCGCACCATTTTAGTAATTTTCAAAACTGTCTTTTGGAATTTACACCTCCCATATTTCTTTAATGTACATTAGCTTATTCAAATGCATAAATTTATTATGTATTTTATATAAAAAAGTCTTATAGCACCCTCAACTTTTAATTTGACCTATTAAATATTTTAACTTATGTAATTGTACTTATGTATGCTTAAATGTGCAAAATTTTTTTATTAATATTTCAAATTGTAAAATTAGATATTAAACACTTATTAGCTAGTTAAAAAGTGAAATTTATTATTTTAAAAGTCGTAGTAACCACACATCAAATTGATACGTTGCTTGTAAAAGTCAAAAATACCAAAAAACTGTTATTACTAGTATGTAAAGATATGTAATATTATTGAAATTCATAAATTTAGAGACACAAAATAGGTTCTTGTAATGTTTGAGGTGCCATAATTTTTTTTTTTATAAGATACACGAATGAATTTATATATTCGACCCTTAGTGTCTAAGATAAGGTGAAGAAACTTTGTTTTTCAACTTTTCAAATAACATGGAGTTTAGAATTTAAATATGGTAATTTACATATTGTATGTGGGTGGATTTTAAACTTAGTTTTTAAAAACTGAGCCAAATGTTTTCAGATTAATGCAAAACTTACGAATCTAAATGAGCTTATTCTCAATTAATTTCATTTGTATTAATAGTTTAATAATTAAACATATGGAAGTGAAAGGTTCAAAATCTGAATACCAAATAAAAAAAAGAAAGGTTGAGAGATGAGCTTATACAGTCATGCTAAATTAAGTTCATTTATATTAATAATTTAATAATTGAATATTGAAAGTGAAAAGTTCAAAAAAAAAAAAAAAAACAAAAAAAAAAAAAAAAAACTAAAGAAAAAAGAAAAATAAGAAATAAGCTTATACTCAAAAAACTCATTTATAAATTAATAATTTGATATTCGAGTATCGAAAAGTAAAAAGTTCAAAATCTAGATACTGCAATAAAAAAAAAGGTAAGAATTAGAGATGAATTTATACTGGATTAAGCTCAATTATGTTAAGAATTGAATAATTAAATATTAAAAATTCAAAAATCTGTATATTAAATAGATAAAATAG